TCCTCCTACTGAAGCCATTCCATATATCTAATAATTTTTGTTGCCCTTTCCTGAACCTTTTCCAGTTCTATGATATCTTTTTTGAGATGGGGCGACCACATCTGCATGCAGTATTCAAGATGTGGGTGTACCATGGATTTACATAGAGTAGAGGTGGGCAAACTATGGCCCGTGGGCCACATCTGGCTCGTGGGACCGTCCTGCCAGGCCCTTGAGCTCCTGGCCTGGGAGGCTAGACCCCGGCCCCTCCCCTGCTGTTCCCCCTCCCCTGCAGCCATGCGGGCAGTGGGCTGCGAGCTCTTGCCGCTCTGAGTGGCATGGTAAGGGGGTGGCGGCGGAGCGCAGGGCGGTGCAGGGGTTGGGCAGGATATCCTGGGGGGCAGTCAGGGGACAGGGAGCGGTTGGATGGGGCGGAGGTTCTGGGGCAGTCGGAGATGGGGAACGGGGGGGGTTGGATAGGGCGTGGGAGTCCCAGTGGGCCGTCAGGGGACTGGGGGGGGTGGATAGGGGCCCGGAGGCAGTCAGGGGCCAGGGAGCAGGGGGGTTGGATAGGGGGTGGGCTCTCTGGGGGCGGGGGTTGGGGGGGGGTCCTGGGAGGGGGCGGTCAGGGGACAAGGAGCAGGGGGGTTAGATGGGTCGGGAGTTCTGAGGGGGGTAGTCAGGGGGCGGGAAGTGGGAGGGGGCGGATAGGGGGTGGGGGCCCAGATGTTTGGGGAGGCACAGCCTTCCCTACCCAGCCCTCCATACAGTTTCACACCCTGATGTGGCCCTCGGGCCAAAAAGTTTGCCCACCCCTGACATAGCGGCATTATGATATTTTCTGTCTTATTATCTATCCCTTTCCTAATGATTCCCAACAGTCTGTTCCCTGTCCTTCACTGCTGAAGCACCAGCTGAGAAACTGGCCCACACAGCACATCTACACGCTGCAGTGTACCGTACTCACAAACCTGCTGTGCTCATACACCCAGATCCGACGATGTACATGTGTGTTTCGTACACTACCGCACATGAAAAGACACTACGCCCCCTGGGCCTGATTCTCAGTTACTCTGTCCTGACGCTTGGGCTACGGAGGGCTGGGAGTTAAGGTGACTTTACGCCATCTTTGTGCACCGTTTATTCTGCTTGCTGTGTAAGTCTGAGCAGCCTCAGTGCTGTTGTAACTGAAGATTGGCTTTCGATGGGCACTGTGCACTCTTTACCTCCTGCCATGACTTGAACCCTACACCGAAGGCACGTGCAAATGGCACAATCAGAGGCAAAACGTGTGCAAAAAGTTGTCATGACCAAATGTGCCCTGACTCACCCACTCAAGCCAGCCCAGCTTTTGGAGTGAGTCTTAGATCCTAATTCATAGGACATGCAGCTCTAGCTAGAGAGCCCATCCGTCTAGCAGTAGCCCTATGCTGTTGCTGGTATCTACCAACTTTTCTAGGATTACAGACAAAGCATTTGATTTGTCCACAGCCAACACTGCCTCCTTCCCACCGTTAATCCACAGATTTCCTCTCCCCCTTGGCACTTGCAGGTCGGTTTTAAGCCCATTTCTTTTTTTAAAGCAAGAAATGACTCCTCCTTGAAAAACCAAGCAAAATTGTGTGTGTCGAATATGGGGAAGGGACAGGAAATGGTCCAAATCCCTGTGCACCTAAAAAAAAAAAAAGTGAATGAAATTTGTAAAACCTCCAACGCCTCCCGGCTCACCCAGCTCGCATGATGAGACACAGACACACCGTGTCAGCGATACAGCCCAGGTTATACACCCCCTGCACATACACTTGCTGGTCATGCACATGCCAGGCACGCCCCCCAAGAGCTGTCACATGCTATCACACGTGAATCACGGGGTCCCCATTCACCTCTCGCTCACCCCCTTGTAAACCAGGCACAGTCAAGACAAGCTGAGGTGTAAGGATGGGAAGACTCTGGCCCAGCCAGCTGGGCGCTAGGGATGCCAACAGATTTCCCTCACGGCCACGGCTGGTATTTTTCATGGCAGCACACGCAATCGGAACACAGCACAGCAGTGCGGTGCCAAAACACCAGCCAGGGCATCAAACAGGCCCTCATGTGCACTTCAAAGTTTGTTTGTGTTACAATAGCAGATTGCAACAAATAGTTCCTTCACCTTGTCTCCCATGTCCAGAATGAACATGTGATGCCCGGGGCAGCTGAGCTGCCCGCTACCCTATAGGGTCGGAACAAGGGGTGTATATTTAAAAGGAGCTGTACGAGCAATTCAATCCTGGCTGGCATCCCTGGCAGGCTCAGGAGCTGGAAAGGGTCCCAAGGGCTTGCCTGCACGAGGAGCCGCTGAAACGCAACCAGAATTCCCGCTGGCCAGTACAAACCAGTGTGCCCGCTGCAGCGTCACTGGAGAGGCTGCAGTGTGCTCCTTGTCAAGTGCCCGCTCTGGGGCGTGTGGCTGGCCAGGACAACCTCGCAGCCCTCTACCGGCATGTCTCTGCTGCAGCTGGCGGTATACTTCGATGTACCCGCCGTTAGCTCCAATCAATCTAGCCCACTAAAAATTGCAACGTAGCTGCGGCAGCATGAGCTAGCTGCCCACGTACCATCCGGCCCGAGCCCCTAGGTACGTACCTGGGTGAGTAGCCAGCGCAGCTGCCTGCACTGTGGTGGCAATGCTGTGCTTTTCAGTGTGCTACCTTGGTCAAAGCTAGCAGGGATACGTGCTGGAAATCACCCCCCCCATGCCCCCGCCCCCCCCAGTGTGGATGCACACTGCCTCCTCAGCTTTAGCCTGATTTCAGGAGGTACTGAGCTGCCTCGCGAAGTCAGCGGAAGCTTGCACGGTCTCGGCATTTCTGAAAAAGAGTCGGCTTCTGTCCATGGATGCATTCGGACTGGACAGGGCCTGCATATTGTGGCTGGCCCCTATGCACGGGCATGGGGAGGGGCGGGGGGAAGAGGCTCTCTGACCTTTTCATCTCTTCTCGCATTCTCTCAGTGTGGCCCCACCGACGGCAAAGGGAACGGTTGACTAATGGGGACCAGTAACTCACAATCTCCTGAGGCCTAACGGCATGCAAAGCAGGAGCACGGCCCAATGGGAGGGAGAAGGAAGATCACAGTGTAGGGTGTTTTAGGTGCCATGGGATTAACCCTTCAGCGGCACAGCAGCAGGCAGGACCTCAGCTCCAAGTTGCTACAGGTCTGTATCTAAGCAAATTTGGGTCTGGACTCAGGGGAGCCGGGAGGGCTGCTGGGGGAGCTTACCACAGATGACTCTCTGAAGGTTATTGCTATTATTTATTGTTTGTCTGGTGGTAGCATCTGGAGGCCCCAGGAGGGACTGGGCCACATTGGTGTTAGGTGCTGTACAAACACATAGTGTTTTCACAGCCCCAGAAGAGCTGAGAAGAAGGGGTGTTCTTCCTTTGTGTTATTAATGATCCTTCCCCTACCCTCTCTTTCTTTAAGGTAAGAGGACTGGTCAGCCCCCATCTGCTCTGCAGTGAACACTGTGGGACCTCACAAATGAGAAATTCCAACCTCTGTCTCCATTCAGTCTTGGGCCTGCTTGAGTTGCTTCTTCAGCAGATACCAACTCAAACTCCTCTTCTGGACTGAAAGAAGAATTCACTGGCACCACTGAAAGGCTCCCACTTACTTCACTGGGCTCTGGATCGGGTTCCTCTATCCTCAGCCTCCCACCTTGCTCCATCAGCGTGTGCCAACCTTATCCATCTCAGATGCTAAAAGATGATAGAGTCTCCATGTCTATCTAGCTCTTGGTTGCCTTATAGGGTTTTCCCACGAGCACAGAACTCTTACAAAAACAGGAGCTGAGAACAAAGAGCTATCTGGCTTTATAGAAGAAGTCTGCAGACAAAAAGAGGCCCTCCCCGCCCTCTTTAAATGCTTAGCTCCCGTCACCCCCACCCCAATCCAGCATTGAGAAGTGTCTTATTGTTCCACTTACTGGGATTCTTCTCTTAATCCTCTACCCGACACTCACATTTCTTTTACCCGAGCTCTGAAGAGACTCGTTTCCTCCCTAGGTAGTTCTGCAAAAAGACCCTGCAAAAAGGCCATGGCAGAGACGTGTGTTGGCAAAAAATACCCAGCAGGCGGGTAAAGTGGACTTCATATGAATCTTTAATGCACAGAACAACCTGTCAGGAGCCCTGCAAACGAAGACTCCACAAGCAGCAGTTCTGCAAACTCAGAGTGTTAAAAAAACCCCAGTTTGCCTGCAATGTCTTTGCACCTGCCCGGCTGGCGTTAATCTCCACGATCTTCGCTTTCAGGATGGTGCCTCCAGCTCCCGGTGTCGCCTCCCAGAACTGAGACGCTTCGCCTTGGCTCCTTGACGCTCTAAGGCAGCGGGCCCCCTTTCCCACCTCATCCGCTTCCAAGGCTAGCAGGGGAGGGCGCAGCTAGCTCTCCTGTGCCCTGACCTGGCTCTTTTGGATTTCTCCTCCTCTCAGATTTGGAGTGCGTAGTCCAGGAAATTCGGTAAGAAAAGATTAAAAAGGAGAGACGGTGCTACTGAGTCAAATTAGGCATTTTCATTTTAAAAAATAAAATAAAAAGGGAAATCAAAGTCCAACTGGCTGATTTCTTGTTTCTCCACCGCCCATGTCAAAAAGTCCAGTTTGGCCTCGCTGTCCCCTCCATCTGAATGTCACCCTTCCTCTAAGCCCACCAGCTACTCAGGTTATCACACGTCCATGACTCCTCGGAGTTCCCTTCCACAGCTCCAGGCCAACATCGTCCCTCACCGCCCCTTGGATTCCCCGTACATGTTGCGCAGCATGGAGACCATCTTCTCCTCGCACGTCACTTTGGTGTCCTTTAGGATGTTGTACCAGACCATGCCGGCTGGCCGGACCTCTTCGCTGCGGCAGAACAGGTACGGCATGGTGTCAGTGCGGCTCTGGATATAGGCACTGCGGAGCAGGGTCGAACAGTGGCTGCTAACTTTCTCCAACCTCCTTAAGATCAGGTGAGCTTTCCTGGAATGGAGAATAGCAGACGGAGACATAGCAAGAAGGTGGAAGCAGTTGGACCAGAGAGCTAGGAGCCAGGACTAGAGGTGGGTGACATTGTTTTGGGGAATAGTAAATTTGCCGAAAAATTCATTTTTCAGGTTGAATTTAGCCAACAGTTGTGCATAACCCTCCCACCAAAAGACAACCAACCAACCAATCAAACAAAAAAGATCTTTTTTTAAATGTTGAAATGGTTTGTTTTGACATTTTCAACATGAGCTGTTACAAAATGAGCTGTTACAATCCCTTGGAACTGACATTCTGTTTAGAAAATGTCAATTCGAACAGACAACTTGTTTCAAGATGTTGTTTTGATTCAACATCCAAAACATTTTGTTCGACCAGACTGAAATTTTTTTCGGTTTTTTATTTCGGCAAGAAAAAAAATATCAATTTTGGTTCGGCCAACACCAAAAAACCCAAAACAATTATTCACTTAGCTCTAGCCAGGGCTCCTAGGTTTTGTTGGTAGTTTGTCCTGTCACATACACAAAACAGTTCTGTTAACAGTTGCCAGCAGATAGATTGATAGAGTCTGTCTTCTGATTCCTAATTACAGTAAAAGTTTTTTTTGTCTGGCATGTTGGGAAATGGGGGGGTGCTGGTAAGAGAAAAATTCAGGTTAACTAAGAGGGAGGGAGTTCGGATGTAGGAGGGGGTGCGGGAGCGGGTTAGGGCACGGGAGAAGTTTCAGGGTGCCAGATCCAGGGGGGCGCTCACCTGAAGCAGCTCCCCGCAAGCCATGACCTATCCCTGCTGTTCCTAGGTGGAGGCGAGGCTAGGCGGCTCTGTGCATTGCCCCCTCCCTGCCCCGAGCGCTGACTCCGCAGTTCCCATTGGCTGGGAACCGCGGCCCCTCGCCAACTGGACTATACACCGGACTTTCTCTGAAGATTAGAAATGCCGGATTTATAGAGCTTTCCGATTGGTACAGGGCTGGATAACACAGTTTTTACTGTAATTAAATGTCTATAGCTCCTGCTATGCAAGGATCTCAAAATGCTTTACAGATGATACAGAAGATAGGACAAGAAGCAATGAGCTTAAATTGCAGCAAGGGAAGAGTTAGGTTGGATATTACGAAAAACTTCCTGTCAGGGTGGTTAAGCACTGGAATAAATTGCCTAAGGAGGTTGTGGAATCTCCATCATTGGAGATTTTTAAGAACAGGTTAGACAAACACCTGTCAGGGATGGGATAGATAATACTTAGTCCTACCATGAGTGCAGGGGACTGGACTAGATGACCTCTCGAGGTCCCTTCCAGTCCTATGATTCTATGACAATGAATTAAGGGTTATGGCATCTATACTATTATTCCCAGTGTACAGATGTGAAAACTGAGGCACAAGGAGGTTTAGTGACCTGCTCTAGATAAAAAGTTGGGAATACAATTCATCACGTCTCTCAACTGCATTGGGTCATCTAACCTAGGCTGCCCTCTAGGCAGTAACAGCCTCTTCAGTAGTATTGACCTATCACAGAAAGTTTCCAGAGCCCTGCCCTATGGCTTCAAAACTGGCAAACTCCCGCCGGGGCTAGGGCTTGGGTGGTATGAGCAGCTCAAGTAAAGTAACCCTTACCGGAATCTTTGGCAATTAGAGTAAAATAGATATATATGACTGATTTGGCAATACATTCCTGAACCAAACCTGTTCCTCCAATAACTCCCTGGGGACTCCGGAGTTTAATGTATGCTCCCTTCTTTTTTTATTTCTCAGTTGGCTGAAAGAGAGAGAGAAGCAAACATCCTGTTGGAAGCTGGGCTTCCTCCCCCAACCCAGGGGCCAAATTTGCCTCTCAGTTACACTGGTGCAACTCCAGTGAAGTAACAAGTTGATCACGATTCTTAAGAAGCTGATGAAACATGGACTCATAGAATATCAGGGTTGGAAGGGACCTCAGGAGGTCATCTAGTTCAACCCCCAGCTCAAAGCAGGACCAATCCCCAACTAAATCATCCCAGCCAGGGCTTTGTCAGGCCTGACCTTAAAAACCTCAAAGGAAGAAAATTCCACCACCTCCCTAGGTAACGCATTCCAGTGTTTCACCACCCTCCTAGTGAAAAAGTTTTTCCTAATATCCAACCTAAACCTCCCCCACTGCAACTTGAGACCATTACTCCTCGTTCTGTCATCTGGTACCACTGAGAACAGTCTAGATCCATCCTCTTTGAAACCCCCTTTCAGGTAGTTGAAGGCTGCTATCAAATCCCCCCTCATTCTTCTCTTCCACAGACTAAGCAATCCCAGTTCCCTCAGCCTCTCATCATAAGTCATCCACCATCATCCACCTATCCATCCCTTTAGCCATCTATCTATCACCATGGCACAACCCTCAAACTCACTGCTACAGGAAGCCAGTGGAGAAGTGACAAGCCAAATGGGAATATCTTGCCCTCTCCTTCCCTTACTTATCTGGAGTTCTCCAGAATACCTGCCTCCCCCCACTCATGCCTTACCCCAGGGAGGAACCCAAGCACAGCCGCCCTCTCTGCAATTTGTCAAGTCTTCAGAGGGGGAACGGGCTAGGAAGAACCCAACTCTGTAACAGCAGAGAAGGAAACATGCAACAAACCCAAAAGACAAAACAAAATTAAGTAGTTAGAGGCCAACCCTCCCCTAGTGAGAGCCTGCAAAGTGCTAAATCAAAAGTGGGGAAAGAGGGTTTATTTGAGTGGTTTGAAAGTCTCAAGATCACAGATTATTCCCTCTCCCGCTGGTGTCGCAGCAAAGCTCTGGAATTAGGCTTGGGGTTTGTTACAGTTACCGAAGGAATGTCAATTCCCAATAATGACATGTCAGGGGCAGCGCTCTCAGTCAGCTAGGTATAAACATAGGGATTATTTGATTATGAAAGCTTTCTGGTGCTTCAGCCCCCGATTCTTTGGGAGGGAGCATGGCTATTTTCTGATGCGGCTGCTCTCTCCGAGGCATCTCACTAATTGAGATTCCAAGTAAGAATTCACCGTGAGTCACAAAAGAGTGCGGTACAGACAGAAGTGCATGACAGAGCGACAAGCCAAAACAGCAGTGACTGGAGCCAATCAAGCCTCCACAACCAGGTATGACTCTCTGTTTCTCGGGAGGCACATACATTCGATGTGATGGCTTGAGCTTTGACCAACACCTTCCAACTCCCGCTAACACAATTCCATTAAGTAGCCACCACCCTACCAGAGAGGTGCTCCCTCTCCCTGCAATCCAAGATGCATAACTTCACCAGTGACATACCGCCCGCCCCGCCCCACCCCAATCCTTGCCAGAAATTGTTAAAATGGGAAACACTTTGGAGGTTTCCCATTATGGAAGTTGATATTTTCAGTGAGGATGCCATAGCTAAAACAATGCACACCAAGGAGTCATATTCTGCACTGACTTTCACTGCGTAGAGTTCATTAACTTCGATGTGGATTGCACTGGGTGTAAGCAAGCATAGGATTTAGACTCATGTCTAAAAGAGTCCAGTGCTTCTGAACATTGTGTCTGCAGCACAGCATCGGGACATGCCTGCTATTACTAAATGTAGACGGGAACGGGTAGATATAAAATGAGTTACACATTTTTGAATGACGAGTTTTCGTCAGAAAACAACCTTTATTCTTGGGGGGAGGAACAAAAATGTTCATGAACCCTTCTCAACACTGTCCAAATTTTGTCATTTTTCATTCTTTCTGGGGGCTAATTTCCCCCAAAATAGTTGTCAAAAAATAGTGAAAATACTTTTTGAATTTTTTATGACAGTAAAAAAATACAATTTTTAAAAAGAAATGAAGAAAAGTGGGCCTAGTTCAACAGAATGAAAACAACTTTGAAATTTCAACATTATTTGTGAAACCAGCTTTCTGTGTTTTCACCAGCTCCAGTCAGACAGCAATGGCCATTTCCAGTTCATGCTAACGACATTCCCATTGAGCTTCTCTCAAAGTCAAGCCAGCTGGATTGTGAGCTGGGCCCCGAGTTGTGAGCTCTCCCTGTCGAGTTTAGGGAGACAAGATCTACTAACATTCATGAACCCTTTACAGTGTGTTCGGAGAGGGGACCATGTGTCGGGTGTTTGCTTCAAAGGTCAAATCTTGCCAAAGAATGGAAAGGCTTATATGGGTGGGAACTACCCAGTCTGTCTGAATGAAAGGAAAGAAAACAGGAAGGTAGTTAAAGAAAGAAAAGACCAACCTATTTTGAGCACACATCTGGAAACACTTTCTTGTTTGGAAGATTGAAGGTATGTCTACACTGCAATCAGAGGTATGACTGAAGCTAGCTTTGATCTAGCTAGCTCAATCAACTATAGCAGTGAAGTCATGGCAGCATGGGCTAGCCACTGGACTACACAGATTCACAGATTCCAAGGCCACTTGATATCTAGTTTGACCGCCTGTATTGCACAGGCCATAGAGATTCCTGGAACAGATCTTGTAGAAAAACATCCAGTCTTAATTTAAAAATGGTTGTGGTGGAGAATCCATCACGACCCTGGGTTAATTGCACTCACACTTTTAAAAATGTATGCCTTATTTGCAGTCTAAATCTGTCCAGCTTCTAGAGGTTTGTACAGCTCCTGGTGCTGTGGATTCATTACTAGCATTATTCAAGCTAGCTAGCTCACTTACGTCTCCATGTGCTGCAGTCACACCTCTGACTGCAGTGTAGACAGACCCTAAGAAGCAGGGTGAATCAACACTCTGATACCTACACTGGGTTTGCTCTGGAGACAGCTGGTGTTTGGCGTGAGTTAGGACAGAGTGTGTGAGGGAGGTGTCATAGCTATCTTGGTATCAGTAATATTGTGTGGTGTTCTCTGCCCGTTGGGTGATTCGGGAAGAGGGGGTGGTCCAACTCTGGGCTGAAGTTGCAAATGGAACGACCTGTGTTATTCTGCTTGCCTTGGAACTGCCTACTGAAGTGGATGCAACAGGAGAGACTGGCGGGAGGTGACACTCACTCTATTGCTGAGAAGGCAAACAGGAGATGGATGTGTGGATGGGCAGGAATAGCTGGGAGTTTGTCCCTTACGTGCTACAGTAAAAGGAAGCTGCATTTACCCACAAGTGAGTCCCCTCCACTTGCTCTAGGGCAGTGCACAATGCATGAATATCATCCCCTGCATCAAAATGGGTGCAAATAGGGTCATGCCTTGAGCTTCATAACCCCAGATCCCCAAGGATGGATTCAGACCAATGGTCCGTCAAGTCCAATATCCTGCCCCTAGCCTATGCCAGATGCTTCAGATGAAGGCCTAGATCTCCAGGACATGCCTAAATGTGCCTCCTGTCCCATCTCTCCTCCATTCCATCTCCTATACCCTGTGTTTGCTTCCCTCGTCTTTTCTCTCCCTCTTTTGTGCCATCTGCTTATCTCTCCCTCTCCATTTCCTTCTTGTCCCTTCTATAGTTTCCCATGTCCCCTCTTCTCTCTTTCCCCCTCTCCATCCCTTTACCTTTAGACACCACTGAAAACTCCCTCACACAGCTTGCTTCCTCCAGCCTGTCCTGGGCCATTGCTGTTATGGCAGCACAGGGCAAACCCATGCCACTCCCTCTATCCATCATCTCCTGGGGACAACTGGTGGGTTTGTTCTGTCCTCCAGCAGACATGTGGTTGCATCTTTCCGTCTCACTCCAGCTGCTTTGTTGGGTCTGGCTCTGCTCAGTGGCTGGGGAGCCTTAGGGAGTGCAACCATGGGAAGCAGCAGGTGATGGAATGGCCCAGGGGATGCACCAACTGCAAAGTGCTCCGACGGACAAGCAGAGGAGGCAACAGCTCCATGCAGGAGAAACCAAGGAGGAACATGCTGGAGTGGAGGATCAGGAGGGAAGTGGATACCTGGATTTTGCTATCCTCAGGTTGATGACAAACCCCCTCAGCAATGGCCAGGTTGCTTGGCTCTCTTGGGGGGAGCTGGTGTGGCTCACTTGTTTGAGAGGGTTAATGAAGTCATGCTTAAATGTTAGACTTTTGGCTGACATCTTTTCTTTATTAAAAAAAAAAAAAAGGAAGAAGGAGAGAAAGAGACCAGGGGAGAGGAGAGAAAAAGAGAGAGAAGCCTGCTGGTGAAGGCCGGGTAATAAATTACAGAAGCAGTTCTTGGGCTGCCAATTTAAGGCCATCAATCAAATTCTGGCCACCATCCAAGTGCTCTCTGCGGGGGGATGTCAGGCCAGATCGACCACCTTTTCAAAGACTGGAAATGAAATCTTCCTAATGCCGAGCTACCCCGTCGCTGCCAGAAACAATCATTTATTCCCCTATGAAAGGGCAGGATCAGGAGGGGATGGCTGCAGAAGTCAGACTCCCGGGCTGGCTACAGCCAGGGCTGACACTGGCTGCACTAAGCCCCCTGACCCACCGAAGCTTAGTGGCTTCTTCCCCACCCCATCCCCACATGATGTCATCCCCGCTCCACCTCGCCTGCCACAGCGCACTTTGCGCCAGCTGGTTTAAACTTGGTGCCAGCCTGGGACTGATCTTGTTTGCTGTGAAAGTGAAGGATTTAGGAGGTTGATGCTGCGGTAAAAATGATGGAAGGGATTAAAAGTAATGGCCCTCTGCTGCCATTTTCCCCTCTCGTGTTACTGGGGCCTGAAGAGAGATGGGAAGGTGTGACTGTTCGGGCCGTTCGAAGTGCTCATGCATGGATAAAGGCACTGTCGTAAGGGAGTGTGATACAGTAGTTAGAGTAGCAGACCTGGACTCCTGGGTTCTATTCCCTGTGCTGCCAGGGAGCTTGGGAGAGCTGGGTGTCTTGCACTGGCTACTTCCAGCTCTGCCCCGGGCCAGTTGTGCCCCATATGGTGCGTCACTTCACCCTTCCCCATCTCAGTTTGCCCATCTGCATTGGGAATACAATACTCACCTTGCTCCCAAGGCTGCCGTGGGCCTAGTTAGCTGCTTGCAAAGCACTTTGACATGCTAGGATGAAAGACACTAGGAAAGTACAATGCAGGATTACAGAGCAGACAGGGAACAACAGCTGTGTTGGAGTGGAGCAGGGTCTCGCCCCAGGACTCTGACGGGAGGTGGGGGAGAGGGTCAGTGCCTGGTTGTCTTGTTCTCTTGTGGGGTTTCTTTGCTATAAATTCAGATTTTCCGCCCAAGTGATAATTGACCCAGGTCTGTCAGGCTCTCAGATGGGAGGATAGAGAGTCCAGCACTCCAAACCCTGCTATCACAGCCTCTCATCTGTACATCGTATTCCCTCCAGTTACCGTAAGGCAGCTGCTGGTGGAGACGCCTGCATTTAAAAGGATCTTCTCCTGCTGCTGCGGTCAGCAGGGGTCTGTTATTTGCTTTAAGAAAAGGAGGGGCTTAAAGCCCCATGCTGATGTCACATCCTGACCTGATGAGCACGGGGGTGGGGACAATTTAACCATGTCTATTTCCTCCACCTCTCGCTGAGAGTTAGACACTGTTGCAATGGCCACAACAACTCCCCAAAAATCCAGACAGCTGTTAAAAGAAGAGCCTGTGACATAACAAAGCACCGTCCCTGCACCACACAAGCCTGGGAAGGATCGAACAAATGCATAGTAGCATCAGGCCTTTATTGGTCTAGACAGATTCTTCTCTTTAGTTGGAACAAAGTGTTGCTGTAAATTTGGAGAAAGCGTCTCTTTTTGCGTGTGTTAGGGTTATATGGGGTTTGTTAGAAGAGACTAGCAGGATGAAGCAAACCAGGAGCCAAGTCCTGACCACAGCAAGTCCTGGTCTAGGGCCACCTATGAGCTAAGTTTTTTAATGTCTCCTTAATGTAAACCTTCTGTTTGAGACATCTGGTTGTCAGTGTGTCTTCTCGCGAGCAGCTGTTTGCAGTAACCTGTGGCTTTCATGGAAATTGGGCTCTCAAGGACTCCAGCATGATGTATTTATTACACAGAGGCAATAGACTCCCCTCTTGTCACTAAGTTTTATGAGTGAACATTTACGGTGGATCTGAGGCTCATCTGATAAACATTTCAAGGTACGAAAATGAATGCCCTCCTGGGAACGAGAACAGCCTGTCAATTAAAATCTCATTACGAGATGTTCCCTTGGGAAATCCTCAGTCACCTCTCCCGCTGTCGGGGGGTCCATCGCTGCCAGAGCAACCTGAGAAATGAGGCTGGAGGACAGACGTTTGTTCTTGTCAAGAGACTAGAACTGCTTGCAAGCGGCAGGGGTATTTTTAGAAGCTTCCCCATGGCTAGGAGATGCTGGTTACTCAGATGCATGAGGGGCTGCTGAAAGTTCAACCGGAGATCCCTGCCTCTGTGTGGAAGGACAACTGCGGAATCCATGGATGTCTCTAGACATTGCTTTCTGTATAACGATGTGTCAAGGACATGCTGGAGAGCACCTTCCAAATCTCCTTGCTTGACATGGAGAGACAAGTTTGCCTGGCTTGTATTTTCCTGCTGGATAATGCCCTCAAATAGGTGCATCGTCACTCAGCTTCCAGAGATGCCCAAGTAACAGATGCAGTTACCGGGGAAACATAAAGAAAGCCAGTGGCCCCATGGATTTGTACAGAGAGGGACGACTTAAAATGACAAACATCTTGCAGTGCCATCAAGGAGAGGGGAAGAGAGTGGCTGCACATCAGAGGTTAATGAGCTATCAAAAAAATTACAATCTAGGTCACCTCTGAAGGAGGGCCAGTCACAGGCTAACTTGGATTTATGTCTAGGAGGGTCGTAAATTGTTGCAAGAAATTGTGGCATGGAGTCAGGAGTGGATCCCTGCTTGTGCCCAATATGCAGGGTGGGCAAAAAAAGTATAATCTATTGTTATTATGTGTTTATTGTGGTTAATTGCTCCCCCCATCATCTGTACCTCCCAGTTCTCTCTCTCTGTTTCTTTCTAGCACTCAGAGAAAAGGTCATTTCTGAAACAGACTGCTGACAACATGGCATTTGTGAAACATCTCTAAGCATCCTGGCCGAATCTAGAAACCTGAGGGAGCTTCATGTCACTTGCGGAATGTTCTTTGTGAGGAGTTATGGTAGCAGCTCATGAGCAGTGGCAAAAAGGTCGTAAGAAGACACCTTGTCCAGGAAACAACCCAGCTTACTCTCCCAGTACTCTGACATGGCATACTCCGTGTATGCTCTATTCCACAGTTGTAGTCTCTCTGAACCTGCATGTTCACCAGTAATATACTTTTGCAAATACCCCAAAACAATATTTGGGGGGGGGGCTGTTACTGCTGGAACCGTTGTTCTTCACAATCTCAGAGTTATCCAGCTGCTAATTCCCACTCTTAGCACGAAATTAGGGAAAAGGGAACACAGGTTTGTAAAATACATTTTCTGCCATAGCCTGGGCATGCTTCAGTTTGCAGCACTGGTTTTTAGTGTGCACTGCATTTAGAATTTGGGGAGGCCACTGTGATGCCATGTTATTGTTTTAGGTGGGAGGGAGGGAGAGAAATCTAAGATCTTTAAGAGTATTTATAACTTGTAAAGTGCCCAGTAACCATGGTGAGGGGCAACGTATCAATATGTCTCATCAGGCTGATTAGACGGACAGACAGACTATACACCTCATCTGTCTGTCTCTCCATCAATCAGATGAGAGAGAGAGGATTAATTCACCAGCAGGGGTTTAGGAGATATTGTGCTGCAAAGTCACAGTCTATCACATGCTGACAGTTCATGCACCAAACCCTAAGGAGATATCACAAGGGTAGAACTACAGATTAAAAAAAAAAAAAAATCTGCTGTTTGTGAGACATGTAAACAAATGGAAGTTTTATCTCCACTCTCTCATGGTGTCAAGACAGTTTATGCATGTGAACCTTCTCCCCTGCCCCTTAAACAAAAGCTACATGAGGCCCTCATGCCTTGTGCCTCCAAAATAAAGGGGGAGAAAGAGCCTGTTTACGCCTTCACATCTGTAGTGGGCTGGTGGGCCACAGCTGGGTTAATGGTTTAGATGAAGCTGCAACTCCAGCATTCACTGTCGCCTCAGTTAATTTTACTGCTGTTCAAAACCAGAACACAAGCAAAGACGATCGCTGTGGGACAGCCACTTTCACTCCGGAGATCTCAGAACAATAGGGCAGGATCTAAGTGGTAGAACATCCACTGTAAACTTCTCAAGAACACATGACACAGAGCTGGGGAGGGATTTTCCAACAAAGGTGTTTGTCAGTCAAAAAGTGCTGATTTGTCAAAATCCCAAACAGTCTCCCTCTGCCAGTGCCCCAGTACGGTGGTCTGCTGCTCTCCTTCACCACCTGGACTTTTTCTACGTACCAATGCTACAGCTGTTAGAGGATGTGCTGATTGAGGCAGAGTCCTGGATACATCCTTAGGGTAAATTGTCCCTTTATTATTCTCGTCCTTAGCTCTCCAAACACCTGACACAATGCACCTCAGTCCTAATTTGTATCACTCTCTGTACTTCCACATTCATTCATTCATCGAATCAGTGTATACTGTGATAATGCTGAAAGTATCAGGGCACATTTGAATCCTGGAAGAGTCACAGTCTCTGCCATGAAGACTCTCCAATGTAAAAAAGACTGGGGATCAGTGCTAATTTATAACAGCCTTGGCAGTTCACCTCAGTCCTAATGTATAGCACTGTGTCCACACAGCTTTATCAGTTCACTTAGGCCCAGATCCTACTTTGCAGCACTGCCTGTTATTCCCAGGACTGGTCTCCCAAACAACTGTTACAAATCACTTAAATCCTAAATTACAGCACCCCTTGTCCCAATCCAGGGCAGATGATGACGCTACCTCTCTGGTATTAGGGGATCATCAGGGTCATCTGAATGGCCACCTAAACAGGATGCACTCAGCAGTGTAAGACACTAGGCCAGTCTAATGGGGTGGGATGGACTAACCACAAAGGATTATGGGAAAGCACAGCTACCTGGGCCCCAGCTCATCCTCACTGCGCCAGACAAAGTCTCCAAACTTCTCGTAGTGTGAGTTGTAGTGGTGCTGGACTCGGAAGAGCATGGACGTGGAGACCTCCATCAGCGTGTTGTAGGCTGTCTGCTGCTCCTTCCCACTGGTATAGCCATTGTAGAGGTTGTAGATTTTGTCGGCTATCTCTGCAAAGAAGCAGGGGAAGGAGGAGTTTACAAGGGAATGGGAGTGCGGGAAGGGAAAACCGGCCAGTGGGGCTGACGTTGTGGGACTGGGGTGGCCACCTCACCCACAGCAGCTTGGAAGTTGGCTTTAGAGCACAGCCATCTATCTGGGCAGCTGAACCAGACTGAGGCCCTACATGGCTGGAACCCAGAGTCCCCACAGAGACCTAGTGACTTCAACAACTCCAAGTTGGTGCAGGGAGTCTGCCCCTGCAGAACCATTTGCAGGATCAGGGCTTGACACCTCAACTCTGCCATCTCCCATTCAGTGATGCACCCTCTAAACCCCTGCGTCCAGTCCCAGTCAGCCAAAGTGCTGCAGCTGCTGAGTGGGAGCTGGCAAATAGTGATGCACAGAGGGAAGGAGATGCCAGAATACCAGGCACAAAAGCCTAAAGTATCCGTAGTGCTCACCTATACCCCAGAGCTGGGAAGCACCGCTGTAGAGGGAACTGCTTGCTCAAACATTAGGCACCAGGGGCCAGATTTTCAAGAGCCCAGCTCTCCATGAGAGTCATCTTCACTGCAGAATTAACCCAGGCTCTTACTTGGGTGTTGCCCCTAACATCCCCATACCGAGCCCTCGCGCGTGAGTTGGCTGGCGTTTTCAATGCAGGCAATCTGGCTTGCCTGGGGTAGAGCTCAACTGCTGCTTTCTCTCGGGCTCGTAATCTGCCCACTCTGCGGCAAGAACCCCGGCTAACCCCCTCGAAAGCTGCCAGCCCTCCAGTGCTTTCCCACCAATCCCCCAAGTCCTCCCACAATTCGCTGGGAAAGCATCACAGAGCGGCTCAGCTTACAGCAGCACAAAAGAAGCGACACACCTATGGGGGGGGTGCAGTTACCCCCGACTTTCATTTTTCTGGGTGTGTGCTCCAAAGGGGTCTGCACCTCTAGTCAAAATTTTGTAGGGGTCCGCAAATGGAAAAAGGTAACAGATCACACACATCAGACATCACTTGCATCCGATGAAGCGTGCTGTAGCTCACAAAAGCTTATGCTCAGATAAATTTGTTAGTCTCTAAGGTGCCACAAGTACTCCTTTTCTTTTTTCATCAGACAGACTGTGAGCTTTTGGTTATGCATGTACCCTGCATGTCCCTCTTTGGCTCTTCATTCTCTTACTGCTGTTCAGAACAGTCTGGCTATTCCAGCTTCACCCCTCGTTCTTTCTCTCTCAGGGCTTGTCTACACAGGGACACCCAAGAAAGCTAATCCAAATTATTTTTTACAGTGGATTAGTTAAACCAAATTAAATCCCTGTGTTGATGCTGTCATTCAAATGAATTAAGCAAAATCGAATTTAGGCCACTTTAATACTGAATTTCAATGAACTTTTGAAGTGTCCTTGTGTAGATAAGCCCTCATTCTCCTTTAACGTCTCCTTCAGTATCTCTCTCCCCTTCTCTTACCGTTGTTCCTTTTCTTTTCTCTCTCCTCACCCCCGCTGCATCATTGGCTGCACGGCAATCAGCTGTGTCTCAGAGGTCAGGGGAAGTGGGAAAAAGGAGGGTCAGGGGTGATTAACAGGAGAGCTCTCCGGGGTCTGGGAGCAGGGGAATCAGGAGATTGAACTCTTACCTTCTGCCTTGCTGTCATCCACTAGTGGGCAGGCTGTTCTCAGGGTGACGGTGCTCAGCTCTGAATGCCTCCCTCGGGTGTCCACGGCATAGAGGGTAAATCTGGAAGGCAGAGAGAAGATCAGCTGTGATAGCCGCCACACCAGCTCCGCGACGGTACATGGACAAAAGCTCCAAAAGAGCAATGAACTGTTCGGTCCAAGTTCGTTGCGTCCACTTCCGGCAGCTTGAGTGGGCTAGAGGAGAACAGTAGCATTTATAATGAAGAGGACGAAGAAGGAAAGCTGCTGGGGCCTCACTGCCCTGCTCACTGCGTTTATGCAAGGGGACTGGTGTCTGGAGAGCTGTCCCACTGCCCTGCAGCTGTATAAAGTCACTCACCTATGGGGGCTGCTTCCCCTGCCACACTGCAACTGTGCCAGGAGACTAGTTTCTCCAAGTACACTGCCTCTACCTCCATCCTTAAGTAACAGAGGTTTTAATTCCTCTCTTAAATGCCCAAAGCGGTGGTGGCAGCAGCTTGTATGCATCCTTTGAACAGACCTGGAGGTTGTCTTTTCTCCATTCTCTAGCCAGAGAGGGGTTGGGAAAGGCTGAGAGTGTTGATTTCACACTTGAAATGAATGGAGAGCATCTGACAGTAAAATACGGCACTTGTGCAAGGAAGAACCTTTGATCAAACAGGCCGTGGGCCTTTTTCTTTTTTTGGTTTTGAGCAACGAGTGTCCCAATCAGAGGCTTACAGTGTAAAACACAGAGAGCTTCTTATCAGCTTGGGGATCGGGTAAATCCTAGCATAATCCTCTGCACGGCTCTCAGTGGGCATCTTTCCATATTTATCCACTCAGAGCCAGGCGGTGCAACACACGTCTCCAGGGCTGGCTTTGACAAAGTGCAGGAGCTTACCTGGCCTCCTTGGAGGTCTGAGAGACCCAGGGACGGGGCACCCGCTGACTGAAGCCAGATCGGGCCACTAAATAGCACAGCCCAGCTTATTATCTTAATGTCAAACCTGACAGCTCTTGGGAGAGAGTGAAAATTGTTCTTTTAAAAGCTGTTGAAGCTTAAGTGGGATCTGGACTGTGCTGTATGTTCTTTTCGCTGTGGTCCGAGTCCACAGCAGCCTTGGCTCTCTCAGAAGTACCATCCCCACGGATGGTCTCTCTACCATACAGAGCCGAAGGGGAAATTTCCAGCCTGGGTAGACGTACAGGCACTCGCTGTGACTGAGCTTGTGAGCTGCAAAGAGCAGCGTAGCGGCGGTGCCACAGGTGGGCGAACAGGCTGGCGACCTGAGTACGTACCAGGAGTCTCAGATAGGTTTGTGCTCAGATGGCTAACCACGCCGTCAGGGCCACGCTGTCAGGGCCACACTGCTCTGGCTAGCCACGCCGTCAGGGCCACACTGCTGTGACTAGCCACGCCGTCAGGGCCACGCCGTCAGGGCCACACTGCTGTGACTAGCCACGCCGTCAGGGCCACGCCATCAGGGCCATACTGCTCTGGCTAGCCACGCCGTCAGGGCCACACCGTCAGGGCCACACTGCTGTGACTAGCCACGCCGTCAGGGCCACGCCGTCAGGGCCACACTGCTCTGGCTAGCCACGCTGTCAGGGCCACGCCGTCAGGGCCACACTGCTGTGACTAGCCACGCCGTCAGGGCCACACTACTGTGACTAGCCACGCCGTCAGGGCCACGCCGTCAGGGCCACACTGTTCTGGCTAGCCACGCCGTCAGGGCCACGCCATCAGGGCCACACTGCTGTGACTAGCCACGCTGTCAGGGCCACGCCATCAGGGCCATACTGCTCTGGCTAGCCACGCCGTCAGGGCCACACCATCAGGGCCACACTGCTGTGACTAGCCACGCCGTCAGGGCCACGCCGTCAGGGCCACACTGCTCTGGCTAGCCACGCCGTCAGGGCCACGCTGTCAGGGCCACACTGCTCTGGCTAGCCACGCCATCAGGGCCACACTGCTGTGACTAGCCACGCCGTCAGGGCCACACTGCTCTGGCTAGCCACGCCGTCAGGGCCATGCCGTCAGGGCCACACTGCTCTGGCTAGCCATGCCGTCAGGGCCTCGCCATCAGGGCCACACTGCTGTGACTAGCCACGCTGTCAGGGCCACACTGCTCTGGCCACACTGCTGTGACTAGCCACGCCATCAGGGCCACACTGCTCTGGCTAGCCATGCCGTCAGGGCCACACTGCTCTGGCTAGCCATGCCGCTCTGGCCACACTGCTCTGGCTAGGCACGCCGTCAGGGCCACATTGCTCTGGCTAGCCAGGACACACTGGGCACACTGCTACTTGTAGCGTCCAAGGTCGATCATGGCGAGCACGTGTACATCTGCCTGGGCTGGGAATGGATCCCTCCAGCTACAGCGTGTACTACCCACGCATACACAACGTACGAACTGGCTTCTGCTCTTTTCCACACACTGGCCTTGTCTGGGATTGGGATTAGCCCCAATTCAGCCATCGAGGGCCATCGAGCTATGTAGCTATGTCCTGCCCACCTCCAGAGTCGACAAGGAACTCTGTCATTTGCACCAAGGCAGCTCACAGCAAGGGATACGCTCCATCAGTGCAAACAGTGTCTTTTCTTAGCTATATTTGGGGTCTGCATGGGCACAGTTCTGTCTATACATCGCCAAGGAGTCTGCCTGCCCACAGGGACAGTTGTCATTTTGTGAAGCTCAGTTGATACAGCATGTTACGGAGAAGAAGCCCACGCAGTGCCCTCTCGCGGAGACACTGCTTTTACCCTGTTATTGTGGTCCCTTCATCTAAAACTGAAGTTGTTTAGATTGGAAGCATCAGAGCATATGGAAAACCACTGCAGCCCACAGGAATGATAAGGCCCATTTTATAGAGGGGTGAACTGTGACACTTGCAGGTTGAGCGACTTGCAGTGAGGCAGCGGTTAAAACCGGCAGTGGAACCCAGGAGTCCTGACTCCCAGTCCCCGGCTCTCATTGCTGGACAGCACTCCTCCTTCTCCACAACCAGCTTAACACAAAGGTGACAAGCTGCAAAAAGAGCGAACGACACAGTTCTCCCGCCAGCTGGTGTTCAGTGCAATACCGGCGTCATTTGTTTCTGCATGTGCTATTTTTTATTTTTGTAATGTGTGAACACAAGTTTAATCCCTAACCTCTGCCCCAGCTGTAGTCATTCAGTCAGTCAAGCTCCAATCTGTGCCACAGCATTTTCCTTTAAAGCTGAGAGGTTTTATCAGCACATAATTGCAGCACTTTGTAATTAGTGCCCACATAATCGCTTCGACCGCAAGGGGGGTCAGAAGGTGGCGTCTCTGCCTGGAAGAGTGTTTAAAATATTTCAGCAGCGTTGGATGATGTCAAAGGCCCAGACCGGCACCACGCCTGACTCGTCACTGAGCTCACCCTGACACAATGGGAAAGTTATTCAGTCACCAGTTCCAGGAACACTGGCAGGGCTGGGTTAATTGAGAAAAGGTACACAGCCTCCTGGATCATGGTTTATTACAGCAGGGTTCCCTCAATACTATGCTGCAGTGGGCAGCGGGCCCTATGTCCCACACATTCTAACCTGGCTCTGGTTAGCTGTGTCAGAATTAAAAAAAACCCCAAACTATCCACATCCACTAAGCCACAACTCTCCAGCCCTTCAAGGATGTTCTGAAATTCCACCTCAGGAATCATAGGGAATATCCTGGTCATAATGAGCCCAATCCCAGAAAGGGCTTGACTCTTGCTCCCCTTGAAATCCCTCATAGCTTCTGGGGGGGAAAGGTTGGAACCCGCCGTCCCTTTTTTTGCCTGGCTTTGTGTTAACCGCCTGTTTCTTACCCCTTGTACACATTAGAGCAGGGGTGGCCAGCCTGGGGCTCCGGAGCCCCATGTGGCTCTTCAGACGTTAATATGCGGCTCCTTATCTAGGCACCGACTCCGCGGCTGGAGCTAAAGGAGCCAACTTTCCAATGTGCCGGGGGGATGCTCACTGCTCCACCCCTGGCTCTGCCACAGGCTCTGCCCCCACACCACCCCTTCCTGCCCCCTCCCCTCAGCCTGCCGTGCCCTCGCTCCTCCCCCCTCGAGCCTCCCACATGCTACGAAAGAGCTGACCGGGAGGTGCGGGGAAGGAGGGGAAGGCGCTGATCGGCAGGGCTGCTGGTGGGTGGGAGGCGCTGGGAGAGGGGTTGGGGAGCTGATGGGGGGCTGCTGACGTATTACTGTGGCTCTTTGGCAATGTACATTGGTAAATTCTGGTTCCTTCTCTGGCTCAGGTTGGCCAGCCCTGCATTAGAGTGTAAACTCAACAGGAACCTCTGACTTGGCAGGGGTGTTTTCCTCCGTTGGGTAGAGTGCTGGGCATGGCAGCAGGGCTATAATAAGGTAAATAAACAACAGAAGGAAAAGAAGATCTACACAGATGGGAGAGGAGAGGAATTGTTCAGGGTGTGGTCCAAGAGGGTGCAAATTAGGTGCAAAGGAATTAGCTACGGAAACGGCCCTGAGGCTGAATGTCGAGGGGGGGGGGGGAAGATGCCTGACAATGAGAGTTCATATTGTGGAATAGTCTTCTAAAGGAAGTAGGGGCAACCAAATTTCAGATATTTAGAACTAGGCTGTCTGGAGTTGCTGGGCAGAGTGGCCTCACTGTGTCTAAAGGAGCATTTCTGTCAATACCTCTGGCAATCTGTTACTCGCATCACAGCAGCCACCTGTGCTGATTTCAAGGTCCACCCTCAGTTTAGTTGGTGAGTGATTTTAAGGAGGCCAGAATGTATCCAGGCATTCCTGAGGGGATAAGGGTATGTCACAATAACGAAGGTGGTGACACCGTACCACAGGGCAATGATGAAATGATTTGCTCCTATGGGACATGGAAAGAGAAGAAAGGCCAGTATCTGACATTGAGCAGAGCTCTAAGTGCTAAGAACACATCAGTGTGGCATCTTTAATGAGTGGCCAGGACCTCACTGTTATGTCTGAAAGACATCATTTTCCAACAACGCTGGCTGTTGAGAGGCCTTCACAATGTCCAGCAGCCCCCAAATGCAAAAAGCTCCTGTGTCATGGACACAATTTGCCAGCGGCTCTAGCCTGTAAGTCC